CCCTCGCCGTAAAACAAGTATAGTTTTCAAAAATATCATACTACGTATAAGTATGAAAATCCAATGCAAGCCAAATGTAAGTCCAGAAGTGTAACACAGCAGAAAAGCCCAACAGCAATATGGATATGATCATGTGCTGTAATCCATGCTAATATGTCAATCTGAGTCACTTAATGTGAGTTGTACGACTGCACTTATCGCTCATCAGGCATATGCTAACACACGAGTCGGAGTCATCTAATGTGACATGTACGACAGACTAGGTGTAATAATAATATACGCTCTAGTGCTATGATCACGTGAAGCTTGCGCTAAGCGCAGTCACCTACGAGTCGGAACTTCCTATTGCAGTCTGTACGACAGGCTAACACCTACTTGGATCCAAGGTAAGCGTGTGCGGTGCTGGGAGGTGAACATACAGGTGAAGGCTAGCCTGGCCTCGACTAAGCACTCACATGGGTGTAGCAATGATGAGCAAACTAAAAGTAAACATGCCATAATGATGCAATAACTCCAATCAACATAATAAACTTACCTGAACTTACCTGCGCATCCCATAGGATCATCTTGGTATTTCACAACAATGCAACATTTCTATAACATAATTTAGTCATGGCATGAAATGCATAAATCAATTCAAAAGCATTTATGGAAACTAATATATATACACACACACACACACACACTATAAAAAAGGAAAAGACCTACTCACCTGAGGTCCGCGCTTCAACTCCCTAGCATGAATATCGAGGTGTCATAAACAATCGGCGCCTGCCACGAAGTCCAAAAGTGAATGGAAGATGGTCAATTTCGCCAATAAAGCCAGCTGGTGCCTAAAGCTTCCCGGTGTCAATTCGTCACCTACGATGGTCCAACGAGGTCAACGCTGGTCGGGATTTACTCCTAGGATGATGGGCTACAAAATTCAAGTGGTGGTGTCGGCCATCGCTTTACCGATTCACCGGAAAAATGAAATGGGTGGCCGAAGCACCATTGGTTTTCATCGAGTTTTGTGGCCTCACACCGCCACATACAGAGGTTAATCAAGGTGGTTCTTGTTTAGGTTTTGTAGAGGGGAGTGAAAGCTTCAAAAAGGTGGTGGTGGCGTCGAAAAATTCCACTGGAGTTTATTGGAATCGGTGACGAAAAATGGGAGGTCACAGGGATGGGTAGACGGGAAAGTGAAGGCTGGGAGCTTCTCTGTCTTCAGCCCATTGGCCCTCTCTCACCCCTCAATTTCTGATTGGTCCCCCCTTCATTAACCGATTCGTCCCTTATTTTCTTTCTTAAATATGATTGGTTTCTTTCCCATAAGATGGGAGTTCAATTTATTTAACTAAACTTTAAATAACCAATTTCAAACGTATGTAACTATACCGTTATAATCCAGACTCGCGAACGGTTTCCGCTTATGCGCTCGTAGTGACGAGTACTATGAGGATACGCTAAAAAATGAGTCCTACATCTCTCTAACCGATGGTCAACGAAAGTAAAAAATTTTCCTCTAGGGGCATTTTCATAAAATCACTATTTTAAATTTTATAAAATTGTAAAGGTAAGGACAGGTTGTCACAATGCCCGCGCGATATTGCAAGATTGAAAAGAAACCGTAGGAAGATTTTGTATATAGTACTATTTACATACAAGGGAGAATACTTTATGTGTATTACATAAACGATTTAATACAGTCATAAACTCGTAGGAAATCTACAAACAATCACATTGAGATACATAAGCTTAATATGTGCTTACCCCTATTTGACTTCGAACTCTCCTGCGTATTTTACAAAAATTACTGATTAAATTAAATAAAAAATTCAACAAAATTCAATCACAAATTCCACCTAGATAATTATCAAAATCGGAAAAATAGAAGAAAAAAAAGATATTGAGAGGGTCAAAGGGCCAAAGGAAAGAATTGGGATACGAGTCAAATACTAATAAATAAATAATTTCTCTAAACCAACCTGAGAGTAAATAGAAATCTAAACTTAAAACAATCACAACTTCAACACAACTAAAGTCTAGGGAACAAAATCTGATACTCAGAGGAAAAGGATCCTAGCCGGATTGTTTTTTCTGGGGATTCGGGGGATCCCGTGATCGTGTCTGTTCATCATACATCGTGTGATCAGAACGGACACGATCACGGGATTCTCCGAATCCTTAGAAAAATGATCCAACGAACTCAGAGTACACAACTCATCTCTCTACGTGTAAAACACTTGAAAAATTAAATGCAAATTATTGAAATGGAATACTGAAGTAGCCGTGCTAATTTTTCTTTAGGTAAAAGACTGTTTACTACCCTCATGTTTCGTGGTTTTCAACATTTAGTACATCAAGTTTTTTTCGTCTCAAATTCATACCTAAAGTGTAAATTTTGGGACAATCTCATACATCCGTTAGTCAAACTGTTAAATCTGCCGTTAATTGTGATGTGGCTCCCATGTGGACAATGACTGGGCGCCACGTGTCAGTCACGTTTTTTTTCTTTTTTTTTTCTTCTTTCTTCTTTCTTCTTTCTTCTTCCTTCTTCTTCTTCTTCTTCTTCCTCCGACTGCAACTTTTTTTTTTCTTCCTCCTTCTCCTTCTTCCTTCCTCCTTCTCCTTCTTCTTCTTCTTCTTCTTCTTCCTCAAATCTGGGGAAGTTTTTTTTTTCCTTCTTCCTCCTTCTTCCTCCTTCTTCCTTCTCCTTCCTTCTTCTTCTTCTTCTTCTTCTTCTTCTGAATCTGCCCAGATTCAGTTTTTTTTTTCTTTTCTTTTTTCTTCTTTTTTCTTCTTTTTTCTTCTTCCTCCGACTGCAACTTTTTTTTTTCTTCCTCCTTCTCGTTCTTCCTTTTTCTTCCTTCTTCTTCCGAATCTGGGGAAGATGAATGTTTTTTTTTCTTCTTTCTTCTTCTTCCTCTCCTTCTTCCTTCCTTCTTCTCCCCCTTCTTCTCCTTCTTCCTTCTTCTTCATCTTCCTCAAAAAAAAAAACCCTTCATCTTGCCCAGATTCGGAGGAAGAAAAAGGAAGAAGGAGAAGAAGGGGAAGGAAGAAGAAGAAGGAGGAGGAAGAAAAAAAACCGAATCTGGGCAGCTTTGGAGGAAGAAGAAGAAGAAGAGGAAGGAAGAAGGAAGAAGAAAGAAGGAAGAAGAAGGAAGGAGAAGGAAGGAGGAGGAAGAAGAAAAAAAAAACTTCTCCAGATTCGGAGGAAGAAAAAGAAGAAGAAGAAGGAGAAGGAGAAGGAAGAAGAATGAAGAATGAGGAAGGAGGAAGGAGAAGGAGGAAGAAAAAAAAAGTTGCAGTCAGAGAGAAGAAGAAGAAGGAAGAAGGAAGAAGAAAGAAGAAAAAAAAACATGGCTGACACGTGGCGCCCAGTCCTTGTCCACATGGGCGCCACGTCACAATTAACGGCAGATTTAACAGTTTGACTAACGGATGTATGAGACTGTCCCAAAATTTACACTTTATGTATGAATCTGAGACGAAAAAAACTTGATGTACTAAATGTTGAAAACCACAAAACATAAGGGTAGTAAACAGTCTTTTACCCTTTTTCTTTTTATCCAAAGATCCATCTCCACTTGCTCTAAACATAAAGGACAACAACAATTGTCATCTCCACTTTTCATGCATTCAAAACATCACAACAATTGCAATACAAGGGAAAATACATGTGCATCAAGTCACAAAAATTTCCCTAAATTTGTCCCAAATGATGACACTGAGTGACACAATAGCATGTGGAATGAAATCATTAAATCCCAACAGAAAACCTTTCAAAGCATTTTTGCGAAATCAAACTCCAACCACCATTTAATTAGTTCAACACATAATCATTATGAAGACTCTGGGCACAAGGATCAAATGATCCAAACCGTTGAAATTTGATCCAACGGTTACAAACAGGGAACCTCTCTAAAAATTATTAGGATCCGGAGAGGATCCAATTCCAATATATAATACACACATACATACCCATCCGACTTTTTCTTAACTTGATGAATTTCTTATCTATGTTTCCTTGTTGATTATATTTCTCTATCAATAGAAAAATGAAAACAAATAAACAGTTGGGGCTTCAGAAACTTAACATATATTAACATAACTCAACCATAAATAGTTTAGTTTACTTTTAATAAGGAAATCATAAAGCAAAACGGAAAATCAAAAAGGTTCATATACTGGAGAGATGAGAGATTTTTCAGTGTGACCGTCACAAGGAATAGTACATCACATGTTGCTATATAAATTGTGGAATATGTGTGTTAAAAAGTTAATAACTTAAAAAATAAAATTTCCCACCACTTACATAAAAACACGTGATGTATCACCCGTATTTCCGTCACAACTAAAAATTTCTTCTAAAAAAGAATGATGGCACTACTTTCCAGAAGTTACATAAATTTTGCTGAATAGTAAATAGTAAACCAAACAATTAGAAAAATTAAATGCTTCTTCTTTTTCTAAAATTAGGAGAATGGGCAAGGAGTCATTATTTAAAAGAAAAAAATAATGAAAATGGTTTGAAAATTTTGAATTTTAACGATAATAACAAAATAAAGGGTAAAATAAATAGTACCAAAATTAATTTTTTCATGTAAAAATTTAATTTTTCGTTAACGGTTTGAGAAGCAAATGCAATTGGTGATGTTTTGGTTTTCTCGTTTAACAGTTTGACGGTGAACCGCAGTCGGGGGAGAACAGCGAGAGGGAAAAGAGAAAAGCGAGAATAAGAAAAAATAAAAAAATAATATAATGTATATATATTAGGGGTGGGTTCAAAAAACCAAAAACCGAAAAAAACCGAACCGAATACCGAACCGAGACAAAAAAAAATCGAACCGAAAGTGTAAAACCGGACCGAACCAAAACTGGTTCAGTTCAGTTCGATTTCTGGGGTTCGAAAACCGGACCAAACCGAAGTAAGGAAAAACGACGTCGTTTTTCTCTTGAACGGTGTCGTTCGCTTCGTTCGTCCTTGCATGCCTTCCTTTCCTTCAATTCAATCCTTCTTCAGTATCTGAAGAACTCTGAAACCCTAAACACCAAATAGAACCGAAAACCCATTCCTTTCCTATTCCCTTTCTCTTGAACGGTGTCATTCCAAATCTCTCTCACTTTCTCAGCGACCTGTCTCTCACTCGCCATCGCCGTCTCAGCGACCTTTCTCTTATCCCTCTCACTCGCCGTCGCCGTCTCACTCTCAATCTGAATCTGTCACCCCTGCGACCCACGACTTCCTCCCTCTCGCCGTTTCAAGGCTCAAGTCTCGACCCACAAATTCCCTCATTTGCAAGGTTAGTCTCTCACCCCATGATGCGTTTTGCATATTTTTTTTTTCAATTTCGTTGGTTCCGTCAACATATATGACCCGCTATCATATTGGCTCCAGTCTGCGGTTGTACTTAAATGGTTTGTTTGTAGGGATTGTTGAATTGATTGCGATCATTTGTCTATATCGTAAATGGTTTGTGATTGATTTCTTTAATTTTTGTTGTCTATATCGTAATGGTCTTTAACTCGTTCCATCTCCAGTGACTTAGATGTGTACGAGATGGGTTCTGCAGATGCTTTGATTTCTTTAACTCGTTCCATCTCCAGTGACTTAGATGTGTACGAGATGGGTTCTTCTGCAGATGTTTTGTATAAGATTTTAGTACTACACAGGATGCGAGGAAGAAGAGTTGAAGTCATTAGCAATGTTGTCTTAAATCTGTCAAATTTTGCCATGGCATGGACTGTCTTTAGCTTATTCAAGTCACAAGGCTTGTTTACGTTTTGTTATAAATAATACAAACTGTTGCGTTTTTGCTCTAACATGGTTCATTAGTTAATTTTTTAGTACAGCAGATGAACCTTTAAGGGAAGTATGTGAGAGTTTTTTCTCGTTGCATGTTTAGTTTGTAGATCCAGATACTTTGAACTAAGGTGTCATTGTTTTCTTCGCTAGTAACTATGTACTATAGTTGCTGGAAATTTCAATTATGCCAAGTATGTGTGCCAAAAATATTTTCAGTACGTTGGGGTCAGTTTGGCAAATTTGGATTATCAAGTCGGTTTAATTTCAACTTAAACAAGTGCGAAACTCAAAGAAAGTTAATAGTTTCAGTTTTACAGCTTCTGTATAATCACTTGGAATTTGGGCTAGCAGTTCATTATATCATCTGAAATGGATGCAGTTCATTATAATCACTTGGCAAATTTGTTTTCTTTTTCTTCTTAATCAATGAGGTATCTAGATGGCTGATAACTACATTTGTGCATATAGTTTGTGTTTTGTATCTTACCTTTGCTTCTCAATGATGTATCCTTTAGCACAAGTGGACGAATAATTGATCCATATCGTAGTTCTTTGAGTCCAAAAATGGTAGAGGCTTTGATATGTACACAAAATTGGCTTAGGTCAATTCATGTAGCATTACATCATGAGCCAACCATTGAGGAGATTGAGTTTTGTGAAGAAGTTGAGAAAGGTAATTTTACTTATTGCATTTGGTTTTATTAGACTATTTTAACTAGATGCTATGTTGCACGCTTGCTTTACATCATGTTTTTTTTTTTTTTATTTGTATGTAGAAATGGCAAGGAGAAGCTCAAAGAAAGGTGCTATGTTGCCTCCTAGGCCGCCTATGCGTTGAGCTTGAGCTTGAAGACTTGGAAGATTTTATTTGTGCAAGACATGAAGTGATGAAACCTTGAAGGTTTATTTGACTTGTGTGATGTTTAAATTTGGACTTTTTGAAGACTTAAACTTTGATGTTTAATTTGGACTTTTTGAAGACTTAAACTTGATTGATGATTGATTCTATTTCTAGTTGGACTTTAAATGTTTATTTTCATTTTTTGAAGACTTTTAGTTTTATGAGACTTTATGTTTTTAGATTAATTAGTAAGTTTTATGAGACTTTATACGTAGAGATGGAAACATGTCATATTTTCTATTTCTATCTTATGTTGTGGTTGTTTTGCATTTTTTGGAGGAAAAAAAAAAAAAAACCGAAAAAAAACCAAAACCGAACCAAAAAAACCGAACCGAAAAAAATTTAGGCCGAACCGAAATTTCGGTTTGGTTTCGGTTTTGACAAAAAAAACCGAACCGATAAGAACCGAACCCAGCCCTAATATATATTATCTCAGGCAATGGCAGAAACGTAATAATAAAAAATAAACAGGGGCAAAATAGTCAGTTAGGAACAGTGTTTCAGTTTTAGTATCGATTAAATTTTTGGTTTTCGGAGTGTTTACCGCGCGCCTCCATCATCCTCTTCGCCACCTATCTAGGGTTTTCAGACCCCTTTCTGGGATTTTCCTTGGGATTTCCGAGCTCGTCAAAATGACCTTCCGATTCATCGACGTCGGAGCCTCTTCTCCTTCCTCTTCTTTTTCTTCTAGGGCTCCGAACTGCAACCAACTCTCCTGCTTCTTCAGTTCTGTGCCATCCAAAGCCCCATACCTTCATCGTTCTTCCAACACTTCTTCTTTGTCACTCTCTCGGAGCCGCATGGACTGCTCTCTAAGAGCCGCCATCGAAGATACCAATGGTACATGCCACGGCAAAGTCGAAATCGGGCATTCGATTTTGACGGCTTTGTCGCCGTTGGACGGCCGTTATTGGGGTAAAGTCAAGGAATTGGCTCCTTTTATGAGCGAATATGCCCTAATCTACTACAGAGTTTTCGTTGAGGTACTTCGTTTAATTTGCTACCGAGTTTTCGTAATTTTTTGTTGCGTTTTCTTTATTTGAATTTTGAATTTGATGAAGGTGTTATTGTTTTTCTTAATTTCAGATAAAATGGCTGTTGAAACTTTCACAAATCCCTGAGGTCACAGAGGTGCCCAGTTTCAGTGGAGATGCTCAATCTTACTTGCAAGGAATCATCGATGGATTTAGCGTCGATGATGCAGCGGAAATAAAGAAGATTGAGAAAATTACTAATCATGATGTGAAAGCAGTGGAGTATTTTTTGAAACAGAAATGCAGTTCGCATCCAGAGATAGCTAAGGTGAATCCCTTTATCGAGTCATTTAAATTCCGAAACAAGCTTGAAGCTGCTCCTTTATATTTGATACCGTCCCGTTGATAGCTTCGTTTCATATGTTTGAGAATTGTGTAATGTTTTGTTATTGTAGGTGCTTGAGTTTTTCCATTTTGCTTGCACATCTGAGGACATCAACAATCTTGCTCATGCGTTGATGTTGAAAGATGCTATCAACAATGTTATGTTTCCCGTCATGGATGAGTTGGTTGAGGCAATTTGTGACATGTCAAAGGATAACGCGTCCGTTCCCATGCTTTCTCGCACGCACGGTCAGACTGCCTCACCCACCACTTTGGGGAAGGAAATGGCAATTTTCGCTGTCAGGTTAAGCATACAAAGGCGCAGAATTTCTCAGGTTGAAATCATGGGGAAGTTTGCTGGTGCAGTAGGAAATTACAATGCTCATCTTGTTGCATATCCTGATGTTGATTGGCCTCAGATTGCTGAAGAGTTTGTAACATCTCTTGGAGTGAGTTTTAATCCTTACGTTACTCAGATTGAGACTCATGACTATATGTCAAAAATTTTCAATGCCCTCAACCGTTTCAATAATATATTGATCGACTTTGATAGTGATATATGGCGCTACATATCTTTGGGTTACTTCAAGCAGACAACTAAGGCTGGTGAAATTGGGTCGTCAACAATGCCTCACAAAGTGAACCCTATTGATTTTGAAAATAGTGAAGGTAATCTTGGTTTTGCTGGTGGAAGTCTTTCCTACCTGAGTGAGAAGTTGCCTAAATCACGTTTGCAGCGTGACTTGACTGATTCTACTGTTCTGAGGAACATGGGTGTTGGATTAGGTCACTCTTTTCTTGCTTACAGAAGCACACTGCAGGGAATAGCAAAGCTACAGGTTAATGAAGCTCGCATGAGTGAAGAGTTGAACCAGTCTTGGGAGGTGCTTGCGGAAGCAGTACAAACTATTATGCGAAGATATAGTGTTCCTGAGCCTTATGAGAAGCTGAAGGAACTAACAAGAGGAAGAACAGTTACCAAAGAAAGTATAAGAGAGTTCATCAAAGGCTTGGAATTACCTGAAGAACCAAAGTCCATTTTATCAAAGCTGACACCGCATAGCTATGTTGGAGCAGCTGTTAAACTGGCCAGGACGGTGGATATGGCTGTTAGATACACCAGAAATAACACCAATGATAACACTGAGAGTGTGAAGATGGTGTCTGCTAAATCTTCTGGTGAATCTGAGCTTGTCAGTTTGATGGCGTTGTCACCATTGGATGGTCGGTATTGGGGTAAAGTCAAGGACTTGGCTCCGTACATGAGTGAGTATGGTTTGATCTATTTCCGTGTTCTAGTTGAGATCAAATGGTTGCTATGGCTTTCACAAATCCCTCAAGTCACAGAGGTACCTACCTTTAGTGAAAATGCTCGGTTGTATTTGCTAGAAATAATTGATGGATTTAGTAATAACGATGCATTAGAAATAAAGAAGATTGAGAGAGTGACAAACCATGACGTGAAGGCGGTGGAGTACTATTTGAAACAGAGATGCCAACCACATCCAGAAATAGCCAAGGTACTTGAATTTGTTCATTTTGCTTGCACGTCTGAGGACATCAACAACCTCGCACATGCATTGATGTTGAAAGGAGCCATGAATGATGTCATATATCCAGTCATGGATGATTTGATTGAGGCAATATGCAAAATGGCTAAAGACAATGCTCATATTTCTATGCTATCTCGTACTCACGGACAGCCTGCTTCACCCACAACTTTGGGAAAGGAAATGGCAAATTTTGCTGTCAGATTAAGAAGAGAAAGGCAAGAGATTTCTAGGGTGGAGATAATGGGGAAATTTGCTGGGGCTGTTGGAAATTACAATGCTCATCTTGTCGCCTATCCTGATGTTGATTGGCCTCAGATTGCTGAAGAGTTTGTAACATCTCTTGGATTGAGCTTTAATCCGTATGTCACGCAGATTGAACCTCACGACTACATGGCAGAACTCTTTCATGCAATTTGCCAGTTCAATACCATATTGATCGACTTTGATAGAGATATATGGGACTACATATCTTTGGGTTATTTCAAGCAAATAACTAAGGCCGGTGAGATTGGGTCATCAACGATGCCTCACAAGGTAAACCCTATTGATTTTGAAAACAGTGAAGGTAATCTCGGCGTGGCTAATGGGAATCTTTGTCATCTGAGCATGAAGTTACCAATTTCACGTTGGCAGCGTGACTTGACGGATTCAACTGTTTTGAGGAACATGGGTTTGGGATTGGGGCATTCTCTTCTTGCCTACAAAAGCACTCTTCAGGGAATATCAAAGCTTCAGGTCAACGAAGGTTGCATATCTGAGGACTTGAACCTTACCTGGGAAGTTCTTGCTGAACCAATACAGACGGTTATGCGAAGATACGGAGTTCCTGAGCCCTACGAGAAGTTGAAGGAACTAACCAGAGGAAGAGCTGTTACCAAGGAGAGTATAGTAGATTTTATACAAGGCCTGGAATTACCTAATGAAGCCAAGACCAATCTACTAAAGTTAACGCCGCATAGTTATGTCGGAGCAGCTGTTGAATTGGCTAGGACTGTTGATGTAGTCACGTAGCCATAGATTCAATGGAAGGCGCGGGCGAAGGTGTTATGAGCCAACAATTATATGGTTGCGGAATGTTGTTTTCTTTTCTTCTTTTCCAACTTCTTTGTACTCGCGGATCCTACATTTTTACGTAATTCAGGCATTTTCTAAGCGAGGGCTGCGACGCACCCTCCAACCACATTTTGTAACTGTCACATTGTGAGACCGCAGACAACCATGCGTTCGATTTTGATTCAACATTTTATTCACGTTGGCGAAAACACAGTAGAATTATTGTATACACAAACTGTAACATTTAGCAATGACAATAGCAAAACAACTTGTTTACTCTCTACATTATGGAGTAGCCTGGACCGCCACCTCCTTCCGGTGGAGTCCAGTTGATGTTTTGCTTCGGGTCTTTGATATCGCATGCCTGTAAAACACATAGTGCAAGAAGACGTTGTAAGGCAACAAAAAGAAATGACTGCTTTTTGTTTATTCGTTTTTGTTCAAGCAAGGTAAATATTTGGCCGAACAATCGATGCAGACTGCCAGGTTTTGTTTTTCAGCATACAAGCGGGCAGTTGCAACCCTGAGATTAAAAAGATGACCAACAAAGTTTGTAGGTTACCAGTGCATCCTCAAAACTTCGAAAAAAGATAAAAGATCGGTTGATGTAAGAGTGTTGGAAGCAACCATTGCATGTGAAAGCATCCTACTATGTATGGTTCCCAACTTACGACTTCCAGAATGACACGAGTGTGGGATAAAGAGATGTGTAAATTTGATTTGCGGACCAAAACCTCTCCCGAAAGATTAATTGTACGAAGTGCAAGATGAACTAGTAAAGGTGTATGAGATATGCCGGAATAAGAATTCAAGAAAACTAAATAAAATGTTGGCCGGGACATAAACTATTAAGCTCTCTTTCTTAACTGTAGTATGGAACTTTTCCGGCCTTATGTGTGCATAATGGGGATGCTTATATGTTGAAAATTTGGCATGCATAAAAGGTAGCTCTTACTACCCCTTCAAATTACCTTGCAATGTAGGCAATTCTGAGCATTGATCTGCAACTTCGGCTGACCCTCTTCATCAGGGACATACCTACAGTTTAAAACTTGAGATGAATAAGAGAATCCTTTTACAGATGGCCAATCAAACACAAGCAATAATAGAATGGACGTTACTCGTATACACGTGCAGGACAGTATCGTGACTCGGGGCCAGCATACTCTGGCAAATTTACAAGTTCAGGAATGTTGGGGTCTCTCAACCGAAGGTGAGGTGGTTGGTCATGTTCATGATTTGTGTTGCTCCTATACAAGCAAACAAAGATAAATTCATAACTTACTACAAAATAGGACAAGAGCAAGCAGGAAAGTACCAATATCAGTCTGAGTTGCTAGTTCTTTGACAGCTAAAGAAAAATTTAGAAAGTACAAAATCATCGAGGCATACCCAAACACACAAACCACATATACAAAGAGATAAAAATCCTTAATAAACTGGATTCCGGAAAAGAATAAAAGGAAATAGGAGCTTTTGTTGCACACTGAAACATCCAGTAGAAAACCTCCATGGTCACTAGACACTCACACCATGACGAAGCCGTATTCATTTTTCTGGTGAAATGCAATACACTAAAACGCTCAACCATAATTGTGAGAATATTTTGTTAATCTATATTAGTGGTCTTCAAATACACAATGCTTGACAGTTAGAAGCTACATACAAGTGGCAATATTCCGACGGAATGACAATGATTGTCCCTCAACTCCTACCTATTAGTAGTCAGCTACACGTATCCTTTCTCTTTTTGGGTTTTAGTGAAGCACAAAAGAAAAAAATCTTAATTTTTCTTAATTCATTGCCGAAACTCAAGGACAGAACAAAGAATTCCTTTTAACCTAGGCTCTCAGCCTAGCACATCTCCGCTTCTCAAGTCTTTAACTGCCAACTTGAACCACATTGAGGTTAAACCTCAATTTCACCACATACTAAGAGTGGGAAATGGGGGCACCTTTGTACCAGAGGTTGGCCTTACCAAACTATTTCTGTTAAAGTAGGATAACTCCCTCAAACTACTGTGGAGCGGAATCATGTTGGGAAGGAACAAAACATAACTGTCCAAAAGGATCTATGCTAGAAGCATGCAACTCCAATAGAAGCTTAGCTTAAGACATGAAAAAGGGGATGTGAGAGGGCTCTCTTTTGGAGCAAATATCCTCTGGACTCTTTTAACAGTTCCGTGCAAGTCCCCATTGTTCATTACTTCATTCACAAAGAAGTGGGATTTCATTTTAAACATTGATGTGCCCTGAGTTCTAGAACTCTGAAAAACCTCCATTCCATGCCATTATATTCACATATATTTAATTTCAGAGCCTGGGGAAGTAGGTTATGAAAACCTGATTGTATAACATATGTTGGCAAGGTGGTACCTTTGAAAACTGTTACACTCCAATCTTTAACCAAAAGAAACATGAATACAAGAAAGTTGGTATTAAAAACCTGTGTAAGGAGGTTGGAATATCGAAAGATAAAACCCCATCTGGCTTTGGATATTGAATTGGAGAGTGGAACTGTGCAACCTGCAAATATTTGAATCACTTAGTACCAAACTGTAGTGTGCTGACTATTTGAGTCTGTAGTTTGAGTCCATAGTTTTCAGAATAATGTCTTACATTTGTTGCTTCATGGTCTGGTTTTCCATGCTTCAGCGTCCAGGGAGATCTTCCTTTCATTATGTAACTGATAGGCAGAAAATATTGGCAACTAAGGTTTGAACATCAAATAGTATGAGAAATTACTAATCAGTCGAAGTAATAAGGAGCAATATGATCTCACTGTTCTAAAGCACTTAAGGCCAGGCCAGGAATAAGTCCATATTCGAATGCCTACAATAATACACAAAGGTCAGTGACCATAAACTATAATAAATTTCCACGTACGAAGCTTAAAGTAAGAAGCATCAGATAAAACCAGCCACATAAAACAAATTTTGCCTTTTTCAACTTACTCCAAGAAATGAAAACCAAGGAAAAAATGAGTCAAAACTTTGCATGGATCAGGTAATTATATAATCAATCTGAACGAGATGGAGCGCAGTAGAGTAACAGTTATCTGAGCTGACCCATTAGTATAGGGCTCAAAAAGGAGGTAATTGATCCCCCAATGATTACAATAAAAAGCTATCAACTGTAGAACTGTAGGGCAAAAATAGGGAGTAGATAAACTCCGAAACCATAAACAAAGGAGAAAGAAATGGATTTTTATACTAACTGGTCGGAAGTTCCGAGCTCGGTACAGTTCTTCCCATATCCAAGAATTCCTTAAAGCATCCCAATATTTTTCCATGCGTGAGCCTTCATGAAGTAGACTGAATGTAGCTTCTGCAGCTAGCATGCCTGTAGTAATATAACTAATAAGTTAGATATCTTCATGAACTTAAAAGCAATTTAGAAGTACGGGCACTTATGTAACGCATAAAAAAGCCAGCTGAATTATTTTCAGCTGAATAGAAGTAAGATAAAACATAAACCAGATGAACAACTATTTGGTGAATGATACCTGATTTCATTGCAGTATGAGTTCCTTTTATTTTAGGTACATTTAAAAAGCCAGCTGAACATCCAATAAGTGCTCCTCCAGGGAAAACTGGATACGGGATAGACTGAAATTTAACTATCATCATATTTGTATTTGTATAACATGTATAACAGAAAAATAAATGATATATACATAGTTACGAACACATCTATATAATTATAAATACGCAGAGAGGAAGCAGAGAGAGTACTGTTCCCTTACGGTATAGCAGACATGTCGCAAGACTATAAATCTGGCACCACACGTTAAGCAAACACCCATCTTATCCATGGTTCAGAATGATAGTCTGACCACATATGCCAAACTGTAAATCTAAACCATTGATCAGGTAAACTTTTGCCTGAATGTGTGGTCCCTATACACTGTGTGGCAACATAAGCACCTATGTCGCTAGAATGTCTGGCAATAGGGCATTACGCTTTACAATCAAAAGTTGAGAAACCAAGGAGAAGAAGGATTACAAATTGTCTACTTCTGCTTGCAGTGTGCTTTAACTACATCTTACATGAAATTACTATGATTGACAACAATGAGATCCAGCTATGGGAAACTCTGTTCTTAAAGCCTCCTACCTTAACTCTTCAGTAAACATTTCATTCAGTGGTGACAGCATACTTATAGGGGATAATTTTGAATATTTACAATCGTTGTCCATGGATATCCAATTTAAAAAGATACATGATGCAGCCATGTGGAGAAAATTCAGAGTGATAGCATTCCATTGAACTTCTTTCTTGATGTATTGTACACATATCATGTAAAATAGAAATTACTAATTTACCTGAAAACCACCCTCATTCAAGGTGCGAGCCCCATATTGAAGAACAGTCCCACCTTCCAGCAGTGTTTTGATTGCAGGATGATGTTTGAATTTCTACTAGGACCGAATTTTTTTTCAGGTCAGATAAATGACAAAGAACTTGGAAGTATTGTATTCACTAAACAACAACAACAACAACAACAAAGCCTTTTCCCACTAAGTGGGGTCGGCTATATGAATCCTAGAACGCCATTGCGCTCGGTTTTGTGTCATGTCCTCCGTTAGATCCAAGTACTCTAAGTCTTTTCTTAGAGTCTCTTCCAAAGTTTTCCTAGGTCTTCCTCTACCCCTTCGGCCCTGAACCTCTGTCCCGTAGTCACATCTTCGAACCGGAGCGTCATTCGGCCTTCTTTGCACATGTCCAAATCACCGGAGCCGATTTTCTCTCATCTTTCCTACAATTTCGGCTACTCCTACTTTACCTCGGATATCCTCCTTCCCAATCTTATCCTTTCTCGTGTGCCCACACATCCCACGAAGCATCCTCATCTCCGCTACACCCATTTTGTGTACGTGTTGATGCTTCACCGCCCAACATTCTGTGCCATACAACATCGCTGGCCTTATTGCCGTCCTATAAAATTTTCCCTTGAGCTTCAGTGGCCTACGACGGTCACACAACACGCCGGATGCATTCTTACACTTCATTCATCCAGCTCGTATTCTATGGTTGAGATCTCCATCTAATTCTCCGTTCTCTTGCAAGATAGATCCTAGGTAGCGAAAACGGTCGCTTTTTGTGATCTTCGCTAGATTGCTCCGGTCATTAGCGTGGATAAGTATATAAATGGATAGAGATAGGAAAGCAAACACAAGATGTACGTGGTTCACCCAGATTGGCTACGTCCACGGAATAGAAGAGTTCTCATTAATTGTGAAGGGTTTACACAAGTACATAGGTTCAAGCTCTCCTTTAGTGAGTACAAGTGAAAGATTTAGTACAAATGACATTAGGAAATATTGTGGGAGAATGATCTCGTAATCACGAAACTTCTAAGTATCGGAGTGTGGTGTCGTCTTGACTTGCCTTATCTGTCTCATAGGTAGATGTGGCATCTTCTCTGGAAGTACTATTCCTCCATCCAGGGGTGGTATCTTTAACTGGTGGAGATGCACAAGGTAATGTATCAATTTCACTTGAAGCTTACTTGTAGTTTCAGGCTTGGTCAAGCGCGATACAAACCATGTAGTAGGAGTCCCCCAAGTCGCCGAGCTAGGGGGTCTGCTGAAAGAGGTGACAGACAAGGTAAGCAATCAGAGCTCCGACTGATTGTTCACCTTCTCCCCATCTTGCAGCAGCATGAAGGATAAAGAGAAGAAAAATGAGAAGAGATGATATGAGATACTTTTGCTTTTGAAGAAGTAACTTTCCACAGGCTTATTTCTTGAACTGAGCTGGAGGGTTTTCTGGTTTCCTCCAGAGTATAAGGCCGACTGAAGAATTTGAGGGTCAAAACAAGTCCATCAAATCTAGAGTACGTTCCACCCTGCTGATATGGGATACTTTTTGCTTTTGACAGAGTAATGGATGTATCGGCACGTGTGCTGTTACGCTTGTCTCCACATGCTTCCTTGTATCCTTCGCACTTGCCCTATCTGTTCCTCAAGCAGATGCGGAATCTTCCCTGGAAACATAAGATGTTGAAGATGAGTACTCGAGAGCAATGCCAGGTAAGTAATCAGGTAAGGGGTTCCAGGCAGTCAGTTCCTGGCTGGAAGCTTGATTCCAAGTGCTGACTGATTGCTCTCTTTCTCCTTGTCTTGCAGGTAAAAACAAGGCCAAAGGAAAAGACAGGGAAAAAGCATGATATGGGATACTCTTGCTTTTAACCCTGATGATATGAGATATTCTTGCTCTAGTATAGCTTGTTTGCAGAGGTATTATCGGGGGGAAGGAAAGCTGAATATTTCGAAAGGCTTCGTTGGGAGTGCCCTCTCAGATATGATGAAGGGTTGAGCATTTTTGCAGGTCTGCCTGTCCTGTTGGGGATGGAGGTCGACATATATAGGAGTCTCCCTAAGAAGTAGTAATGTTATTCCTTTACTCTGCTTGGTCATAGCACGGTAGTGGGAGCTGCCAGTTTCACATGTTTTTAACTCTGTCAGAGCACTTTGAAAAAGTGGTCTGTGGTATCTGGCTCTCGAGATTCGGAGAACGATGCCTCTTCGATTTTTGAGAAAGCAATCATGCTGGGGGTCTGGCTCTCGAGATTCGGATAGCAGTGTCTCTTCGATTTTTGAGGAAAGTAATCATGTTGGGAGTTTGGCTCTCGAGATTCGGAGGGCGGTGCCTCTTCGATTTTGGAGCAAGCAATCTGTTGGGAGTGTTGTCTCGAATGTGAGTAAAGGTTGGGCATGTTTGCTAGTCTACCTTGCCACGAAGCACAAAGGTTGACACACAGGGACTTTCCAATTATCCAGCAATGGTACTGTTCCTTTACCCTCTCTTCGATTTTGAGAAAGTAGTCATGTTGGGAGTCTGACTCTCGAGATTCGGAGGACGGTGTCTCTTCGATTTTGGAGCAAGCAATCTTGTTGGGAGTGTTTTCTCGAATGTGAGTAAAGGTTGGGCATGTTTGCTAGTCTACCTTGCCACGAAGCACATAGGTTGACAAACAGGGACTTGCCAATTATCCAGCAGTGGTACTGTTCCTTTACCCTTGTGGGTAATAATATGGTAGCTAGACCTTCAAAATTTATGTGTCTAAACTTTGTTAGTGCTGTTTCTTTGATATTCTTTTACCTTTCTTGGTCAGAGCGATGTAGTGGGAGTTGCAAGCTTCACGTGCTCAACTTTGGCAGAGAACTTTGGCAAAGTTATCTGTGGTACCCATGAGCTATTGTTGCGTGTGGGAAGTGGGTGATTGAACAGTAAGATTCATGTGCTTTCTACTTCACCAGAAGTCTTCGACAGAATGCCCATAATTTCTGCAAAGCTGAGTGTGCGTGTGACAGGTGCTGACAAGGCTAGAAAAGTAGGTGCCTCTTCGATTTCTGAGATCGGCCCTCGTGGTCTCTAAGCAGCCCAGCTTTTGAGAAAGCGAGCGCCTCTTCGATTGATTCGGAGAACGATGCCTCATCGATTTTTGAGAAAGCAATCATGCTGGGGGTCTGGCTCTCGAAGATTCGGGGAGCAGTGTCTCTTCGATTTGTGAGAAAGTAATCATGTTGGGAGTCTGGCTCTCGAGATTCGGAGGGCGGTGCCTCTTCGATTTTGGAGCAAACAATCTTGTTGGGAGTATTTTCTCGAATGTGAGTAAAGGTTGGGCATGTTTGCTAGTCTACCTTGCCACGAAGCACAGAGGTTGACACACAGGGACTTTCCAATTATCCAGCAATGGTACTGTTCCTTTACCCTCTCTTCGATTTTTAAGAAAGTAGTCATGTTGGGAGTCTTGTGCACTGGGTACGACCTTTTAGTCATGTTGGGAGTCTGGCTCTCGAGATTCGGAGGACGGTGCCTCTTCGATTTTGGAGCAAGCAATCTTATTGGGAGTGTTTTCTCGAATGTGAGTAAAGGTTGGGCATGTTTGCTAGTCTACCTTGCCACGAAGCACAGAGGTTGACACACAGGGACTTTCCAATTATCCAGCAGTGGTACTATTCCTTTACCCTTGTGGGTAATAATATGGTAGCTAGACCTTCAAAATTTATGGGTCTAAACTTTGTTAGTGCTGTTTCTTTGCTATTCTTTTACCCTTCTTGGTCAGAGCGATGTAGTGGGAGTTGCAAGCTTCACGTGCTCAACTTTGGCAGAGAACTTTGGCAAAGTTATCTGTGGTACCCATGAGCTATTGTTGCGTGTGGGAAGTGGGTGATTGAACAGTAAGATTCATGTGTTTTCTACTTCCCCAGAAGTCTTCGACATAATGCCCATAATTTCCGCAAAGCTGAGTGTGCGTGTGACAGGTGCTGACAAGGCTGGAAAAGTAGGTGCCTCTTCGATTTCTGAGATCGGCCCTCGTGGTCTCTGGGGAGCCCAGCTTTTGAGAAAGCAAGCGCCTCTTCGATTTTCTGAGATCAGCCTTCGAGGTCTTTGAGCAGCCCAACTTTTGAGAAAGCAAACGCCTCTTCGATTTCTGAGATCAACCCTCGTGATCTCTAAGCAGCCCAGCTTTTGAGAAAGCAAACGCCTCTTCGATTTCTGAGCAGGCGCCTCTTCGATTTCTGAAGCTCCGTCGAGTGCAGATTTTTATAGGGGCTGGCATTAAGTTCCAAAGCACACTTGAATCTCCACCAGTAGAAGCTTCATTCTTGCACTTCTAAGATCTTGATTTGTCCGACCTCTTCTCTCTTCAACACCTTTGAAAATGTCTGGCCCCTCCGACCGTCGTTTTGACTTGAACCTTGTTGAAGAGGCAGCCCCGCCTTCTCCAGACAACATATGGCGCCCATCCTTCGTCTCCCCTACTGGTCCTCTTACCGTTGGGGATTCCGTGATGAAGAATGATATGACCGCTGCGGTGGTGGCCAGGAACCTTCTCACTCCCAAAGATAACAGACTACTTTCCAAACGGTCTGATGAGTTAGCTGTTAAGGATTCGCTAGCTCTCAGTGTTCAGTGTGCAGGTTCTGTGTCTAATATGGCCCAACGCCTATTTGCTCGAACCCGCCAAGTTGAATCATTGGCGGCTGAAGTGATGAGTCTCAAACAGGAGATTAGAGGGCTCAAGCATGAGAATAAACAGTTGCACCGGCTCGCACATGACTATGCTACAAACATGAAGAGGAAGCTTGACCAGATGAAGGAAACTGATGGTCAGGTTTTACTTGATCATCAGAGATTTGTGGGTTTGTTCCAAAGGCATTTATTGCCTTCGTCTTCTGGGGCTGTACCGCGTAATGAAGCTCCAAATGATCAACCTCTGATGCCTCCTCCTTCTAGGGTTTTGTCAAGTACTGAGGCTCCAAATGATCCCCCTCCGGTGCCTTCTCTTTCTGGGGCTCTACCGACTGCTGAGACTTCTCCTAAGCAACCTTTGTGAAGGCTCCCTCTTGTGTGTTTATTTTGACTCATGTATATGTACATATTTGTAGCTTATCGGGGATATCAATAAATAAGCTTTCCTTCATTTCAACGTATTGTGTTAAATACACCAAAGCCTTCTTCGCTAAGTTCTTTGAATTTTCTTTTGTTGAAGCTTGTATGTTGAAGCTTTCTGAGTGGAGCATGTAGGTTGGGGTAGTGTTCCCTTAATTTTCCGAGTGAGGAAAACTTCTCGGTTGGAGACTTGGAAAATCCAAGTCACTGAGTGGGATCGGCTATATGAATCTTAGAACGCCATTGTGCTCGATCCTGTGTCATGTCCTTCGTTAGATCCAAGTACTCTAAGTCTTTTCTTAGAGTCTCTTCCAAAGTTTTCCTAGGTCTTCCTCTACCCCTTCGGCCCTGAACCTCTGTCCCATAGTCGCATCTTCTAATCGGAGAGCGTCAGTAGGCCTTCTTTGCACATGTCCAAACCACCGTAACCGATTTTCTCTCATCTTTCCTTCAATTTCGGCTACTCCTACTTTACCCCGGATATCCTCATTCCTAATCTTATCCTTTCTCGTGTGCCCACACATCCAACGAAGCATCCTCATCTCCGCTACACCCATTTTGTGTACGTGTTGATGTTTCACCGCCCAACATTCTGTGCCATACAGCATCGCCGGCCTTATTGCCGTCCTATAAAATTTTCCCTTGAGCTTCAGTGGCATACGGCGGTCACATAACACGCCGGATGCACTCTTCCACTTCATCCATCCAGCTTGTATTCTATGGTTGAGATCTCCATCTAATTCTCCGTTCTTTTGCAAGATAGATCCTAGGTAACGAAAACGGTCGCTCTTTGGTATTTCTTGATCTCCGATCCTCACCCCTAACTCGTTTTGGCCTCCATTTGCACTGAACTTGCACTCCATATATTCTGTCTTTGATCGGCTTAGGCGAAGACCTTTAGATTCCAACACTTCTCTCCAAAGGTTAAGCTTTGCATTTACCCCTTCCTGAGTTTCATCTATCAACACTATATCGTCTGCGAAACAGCATACACCAAGGAATATCATCTTGAATATGTCCTGTTAACTCATCCATTACCAACGCAAAAAGGTAAGGACTTAAGGATGAGCCTTGATGTAATCCTACAGTTATGGGAAAGCTTTCGGTTTGTCCTTCATGAGTTCTTACGGCAGTCTTTGCTCCTTCATACATATCCTTTATAGCTTGGATATATGCTACTCGTACTCCTTTCTTCTCTAAAATCCTCCAAAGAATGTCTCTTGGGACCCTATCATACGCTTTTTCCAAATCTATAAAGACCATGTGTAAATCCTTTTTCCCATCTCTATATCTTTCCATCAATCTTCGTAAGAGATAGATTGCCTCCATGGTTGAGCGCCCTGGCATGAACCCGAATTGGTTGTCCGAAACCCGTGTCTCTTGCCTCAATCTATGCTCAATGACTCTCTCCCAGAGCTTCATTGTATGACTCATTAGCTTAATACCCCTATAGTTCATGCAATTTTGTACGTCGCCCTTATTCTTGTAGATAGGCACCAAAGTGCTCGTTCGCCACTCATTTGGCATCTTCTTCGTTTTCAAAATCCTATTGAAAAGGTCAGTGAGCCATGTTATACCTGTCTCTCCCAAAAGTTTCCACACTTCGATTGGTATATCGTCTGGGCCTATTGCTTTTTTATGCTTCATCTTCTTCAAAGCTACAACCACTTCTTTCTTCCGGATTCGACGATAAAAAGAGTAGTTTCTACACTCTTCTGAGTTACAATTGCATGTACACAACAAAAACTTAGAAACATTAAAATTTTGAGTACCCAAAAATGGTGCAAAACCCTTGATCAATTTAGAGAGAGGCATATATCCAAAGCCAGCAGATGCATTTAGATCATTCAGAAGAACCACTGATTTAATTACCTGGAATTCTTCGTAAGGGTTCAAGAAAGGGTTATGATAATTCAAAGCAACCACAAAGCCAATAGAAATCTGAAAAGTTAAGCAAGAAACCCATCAATATTGCACTCTCTATATCAGAAGTATCACCTTGTTTTACTGAGTATAAAAGAGAAAATATTAACAACGTTATAAAATAGACAATTATTCATCAAAAAGTTTGGCTACCTGTCTATCTTTCATGTGGTATAAAATGAACCGCCGTATGTCTTTGGATCCAGGGGCCAACCCAGAGTGTGCAACACAGCACCGGGCTCATGCTTTCCTTCATCAATTTCCCAAACCTGAGAACATAAAGTTAGTGGGAAAGCAGCTACAAATCAGAATAGTATGTATTTCAAGAAATTTCTCTTCTTTTAGTTAAAACTTACAAAAATAATAAAAACAAAATAACATTAAAAAATCCACAAAATCAATTAATCCCAATAACAAATAATGGCTGAAACGTCTCTCTGAAACAGCCGTAAGAATACAATATCTAAAGTATGACTAATTTATTTGCTTTAAACAGTAAGCTACCTCTTTAATTCCCAAGGCATAGGTCTGATGCTGTGAATGCCCCTTCTCTCTCAAGTTGTACTTTTTCATTATTTGCTGTTATAGAAACAGATAGATATTCGAATTACATGTGAATGACAAAGACTGAAAGTTTAGAATCAGTGGGAATGTATTGGAGGTAAAGGAAATATTTTTGGAAACCTCTGATAATGATCCTCGACACCCTTCAGCTAGAAGTGTTACTCGCCCTGCATATTGGATATAATTAGTCCATGTAAGCAGTACCAGTTCATAGAAAATTCTAAAGCAAGTGGATAACTCTTTGTTCTCCTCTTGGAGTTATAAAGTGACAGTTCTAACAGGACATGACACCACACAAGGGCAAAACCTAACGATAGTAACCCGGAAAGATCAATGAACATGACTCGTTCAGATAAAGATCTCCAACAATACAGCATAAAGCATCGATAATGATTGATTGAACAGCAAAAACCAACCATGAATCAAGCACAAGTAAGCTGGAGAAGTTGAAACAGAAAGAAGAAACTCTTTTGTAATTTCTGTTCGAATGAACCAGTACAATAATCAGCCCCTTAAGGTTAAGTATAGTATTTATAGCTCATTATAAACTAACTTATCTAACTAACCTCACCGATTAGACAGATAAATGCACTTGATTTAGCTAACTTAAATAAAATACCTACTCTGCATTACCTTAGGTAAAGCTGATGTGGCACATCTGTCATCTACTAAACATTGCGCCTAGTTACTTTACAATCTTGAAAACTGGCAATACCAAATTCTAGTAAGAGCACATGTGCTACATATGCCCAGAGTGGGGCTTTTCCAACTTCAAATATTTGTTGACCACACTCACATGTGCATGCATGCATGCATGAGGACAAGTAAGAGACAGAGAGAGAGAGAGAGAGAGGTGCCTTTCAATTCTATGCCACGCTGGAAATTTTCCTTCTTTGAACCATCTTTGGCAATTCCCATATCATTAGTTCCAATGCCAACAACCGTGTCGTTTGTATCATATAATATCTGACAAATTTGATAACTTGTAATACCAGTATTTAATATACGGTACATTGAGCAACAGCAGGAAAAAAGTTAACAGGAATACCTCACTAGCAGCAAAGCCAGGATATATTTCTACTCCCAACTCTTCTGCCTTCACTCCCATCCATCGTACCAACTCACTTAAACTGCATCACAAGGTCCACAATAAAGAGCTTGTTTAACTGTAATTATACATGAATTAAATGACAGTGAAGAGAAATATTGACAAAAACAAAAGGGAGCTTCGTGAAAATGTTGCCAATCTTGAAGTTGAACGAAGATTTCATTTCTACCACAAAAATCACACAGGAACAACAGGGACAACAAGGACAAGAAATCTCACTATAAGATACGAATTAAAATGTTACCTAAAATTTAATCATAGACTTTTGGTGTCTTTTTATTTCTCCCCTTTAGTTGAGGTCTCATGATACTAGAGCTTCTTAAGTTCCACTAGCTCCAATTGACCGAAAAATTAAAAAAAAATTCCACTAGCTCCAAGTAGATGAGCTGTTGAACAGAACCAGATTGACAAGGGAAAAATAAAGGCTCATCAACATTGTATGAGAGCTGATAGGGTTATCAGAGAAATACCCAAAAGAATTTCTAGACAAATTTCACGCCAAAGTCACAAATTAACTGCTAGTTTCTTGATAACTTCCAGCACAACTAAAGAGAAGAACAGTAAACATAACAGTGCAAAATGCATGGCAGCCCATAGCACAATTTTCAAGTACCTTATAACATAGTTTCCCCTATTATCAAAAGGAGATGGCAGTGAAAGTGCACGATCCTTTGTAAGAAGCCAAAACTTGTCAGAAGTAACAGGTACAGTGATTGGTGACTGCAAACAAAGTTGGCAAAAAATATACATTAAAATACAAGGGAAGAAAATGTAAGTAAGTTACAAATTATTTCTCGAACGAGTAATACATTCCACATTAGCAGATAAAGCCCTGATATCCCTTGTACTTATATCAGGGAAAAAGAATAGGCAACATATGCCACATCCATTTGTTCAAAATATGACTGTAAAAATGCCAACTCTATCAAAATCAAATTTTACAAGCGTAAAAATTTTTCTCCATAGAAACTTCTTGGAAGCCAAATTATTCAGCTAACCACAAACAAGTATTAGACTATTCAAAAGGATTAGACTGTTCAAAACTACATGTGGTAAGCATTAGGCAACATGAGCAACAACGTTGATATACAAAACAACGATCTTATCACCTTCCAATTGTAATTTGAGTTATTTGCAGATATAAAAAATTTAGTGAACCAAAAGCAATTGGCATCCACTGAAAGTAAAGATTTCAATAGCTTAGCAAAAAAACAAAAGAAACAAGGGCATAGGGTTCAAGTAAATTCGTAGCCTTCGGGGGAAGCAGAAACCAAAGGGAAGGTGAGAGGAGGCAGATAAGTACCTCTTCATCTTTCCATTGTGGGAGAAGTTCATTCAGTGCCCGGGGCTCAAAAACATTACCAGAAATAATGTGAGCACCTATAAGTAATCAAAAAATGACAAAAGGATCAAACATAATAAGAAACAGCAAGTCCAATTCAATTATCCAAAAGCCAAGCAAAGATCAATCTTGGCATTTCAGATTACAAGGATATATATGTATACACACACATATATTTATATATATATTTATCCACTTATCCCACAAAATATCTTAATCTAGTGACTAGAAAGATTCAAGCTTGTAAGTAGTATCAAGTGATTATAAACATACCAACTTCAGCTCCTTTCTCCACAACGCACACTGACAAATCAACATCCTTCTCGCGGCACAGCTGCTTCATCCTTATCGCTGCCGATAGACCGGCAGGTCCAGCCCCAACAATGACAACATCATATTGAATAGACTCTCTGTCCGGTTCACTGCACAAACTCCTGGTCTGAGACCCCAAAGTCCCATTTGCCCGAACATTTACCCAATTTTGGCAATACCCAGATGAGACTTCCGGCCGGGAACCAATCTGGGATCGTAAAGAAGCAAAATTTCGACCCAGAAGCTGAACGTAGAGATAGCCCCCATTTGGTATATGGGTTGTTTTTGGCGAAGAGGAAAATGGGTTAGATGGACTGGGAGAGATTGAAGATAGAAATGAGGATGAGGAGCTTGGTTTCCTGAAAGATTTGGATTTTGTTATGAGCCTGATCATGATGAGAGAGAGAAACAGGAAAATCTGAGCACTGCAGCAAATGGAGGGGGGGGTTAATGGTTTCGTTTTGAAAGAGGATGGGTAATGGCACAAGGACAAAATTTACGGATAAAATATGAACTAATAAGTAATTAGCATGTTTATTAATATGAAGTAATAATTTAATAATTAACTTTCGTGTTATTTAGTTTATAAAATTTTGTCTATAGATTTGGTCTTAACTAACGCTATGTCATTCAATGACAACTAATACTCTTTCATTGGTTAAATTAACAAAAATTTAAAAAAAAAGTCTCTTATTAAGGATGTAATTAATATTTTGCAAAAATATATACTAGCAAAACTTTAAAAAAAAAAGACGGTTTAAACCATAATGCCAGAATTTTATCTTAACGAGGAACATAAAAAAGAAATTTTAAAGCATAAATCACAACATTTCTGTTTATAATTTTCGTATACATGTTCTCATATTTTATAGGTCATATATATGCCCGACAAGAATATAATAATTTATTTCAAATTCAGTTTGTTTGGGGAAAGACTGGTAGTTTATGACTAGGTAGAAGGAAATAGGACGAAAAATTACCTTAACATTTAGGAGGTTAAATGAAACATTTTGAATTTCAAGACGCAAACGCTTGATATGTAACCATATAATTCAACTGTCAAAATATTAGTGAAATTCACTTCACTTCATCAATCCAAGTATACAATTTGATACAACGATAGTGGAGGTGGCATTTGTTTAAGCATCACAATGGACTAACAATTATTTGCCTACCATTTTTAGGAGCCGAAGATAAGACGTCCCACTCAACTAAGAATTTCAAGTCAATTAACAAAACAGGTTATAGCATAACCTGTAACAAAAATAAATTTCCTAAAGCGAATTATAGAAGCTCAAAAATTGCAACCATTGGATAATTAGACAACCTCAACTGAGGAGGGTTATATTACTTGAGATTACAGAGGGCAACAATAGTCCTTTACTCAAGTGCTATTCAACTTCAACCAACACGCTACTTCTCTTGTCGGACGACATCCTTTCAGCCGTTCTATGTGTAGTTTGGCCGCTCTTGCTACTGCTACTCGCAGATTTCCTTTCGACGGACCTCTGCATGATCCTGATCGGTATTCCGCCCAAATCGAAGTCTTCCTTCAAAGACCTTTTTAAGAACCTGATGTCTGTTTCCGAGAGCTCTTTCTTCCCACTCAAAAAGGCAACAAAAGTAGGCGGTCTGGCCTTCACCTGCGTGAAGTACTTAACCTTGGGTTGAGCAGCCTGATCTTTCCAAGAATGCCTGCTCATAACCTGATGAAACACGGGGAAAGACAGACGGTTACTTCCAATGACCTTTACGGTGTTGGATGGATGATATAAAAAAGGTACCATCAACTGACCTTACGCAACCAACGGTTGAGACGAGCTGTTGACAATCGTGAACACCATTTTTCATATGTATCAATAACTTGGTGCATGACATCTGCGTGGCCCCTTCCCTCCAAGGCTGATATGAATACGATTGGTATCCCAGTCACCTGTTTGCCACAGCCATGCTGACGTTAATTACCATTTAAACCATTGCTCAAAACACATTATCGAAGAGAGAACTTGAAATCCCCCCACCCCCAGCGCCCTCCCACCAATGCTTCTGTCATTTTCAGATATCTTCTCAAAACCCACCCAGAACATCCACCAAAATAATTCGCGGCATCAAACTAGTAACCCAACCATTATATCATAATATTTCATATCATTAAAACAGAACAAAAACCCATATTAACTCAGGCAGCCAAGGAGAAGCATGTGAGAAATATTGTAAATATCCAGTTTTGTTTTCCATGAGAAGCATTTGAAATGAGCACGGAGCATTATAGACATTTAACTTAAGAAAATAGTGCGCATGTGTACCTGGGGCATGATAGTCTGGATTTCTTGGGGCACAATTTCCATGACCTTGTCAAATAATTGCTTCCCCCTTAATAGATCCATCTTGTTCACAACCACAACCAAGCCCCGGCCTTCTTCAACTGCCTGTCTAGCTATAACTACTTCATCATGCTTCAAACTTCTCCTAGAATTTGCAATCTGATAATTACATATGATGTTGTAAGAAAGGAATCAGTTAAATATCAAGGAAAAAACAAAAATCACTTACATTACGTCATATAACATTTATAGTGCAAACTATCAAATTTTATGTAGCAGAAATCTAAACATATCACGAACTCTAGAATTTTCTTAAAAATAAACATATCGTTTGGCACACCTCTTCTGCATCAAGGACCAGAGCAACTACATGAGCTCTCATTAGATTCTTCCTTGTCTGCACAATGCTCAAGGATGATGGTCCTTTCTCTTGTTTAGCTCGTTGTAACCAACCTGCAGTGTCTACCTGAATAGGAAGGCACAATAAATCAAATAAAATAAGCCATGTTCAAGAAATTTGATAGTTCAAACAAAGAATACTTATACAAAAAAATTAAAAATAGAAAGTGCAACAACATTCAAACTTTATCAAGCACCTTATAGTTGCTTATCCTGGGACACTGCGAATTAGCATACAGATATGCACTTAATGTCTCACATTTATTAACAATAATACATTTTCTTAAGCCAAGAAGAAAAAATACAAAACTTGTACTCAAGATAGAAATCCAAAGTGAGGGCTAGTGGTTGCTATAACAAGCTGCATTTTAGCCCAGGCCGCGCTTAAAATTGAAGCATGTCTTGTCAAAACTCAAAAATGCTTGAAAGAAACATCTTTGAAGTTTTCTCATTCCAGAACTTCCAACTGATTTCTCTACCCAAGAAATAGAAAGGTATGAAGTATACTAATATCACTCAAGTTCTTTATGAGCGAAGAAGTGATCCTACAAATCTATCAGTTCAAGCACACTATTATGAAATGGAATTAATAGTATATGATTTTGATATATACTGTAAAGTTGGGGTTGAGACAGAATATAATCTCTGGCAGATACAAGACCAGGTAATAAAGAGCATGCCAAGGAATATGAAGGACTACAAAATATACAACAACAACAAAGTCTTATCCCACTAAGGACTACAAAATATAAATAAAGGAAATCAACTCGTAACCTGAGTTTGAAAGTTAAGAAGCACCAAACAAATAAATATAATATGTACCAGGTATACAGTTCTCCCTTCAAACTCAAACTGAGCTCTAATTGAATCTCTTGTCAAACCAGCTTCTGGGCCCACCAGCACACGTTCTTCTTGTAACAATGTATTCAGCAAGGTTGACTTCCCAACATTGGGTCTTCCTACAATTGCCAACTGTAATTCCAGCTTACTTTCCTCAACATCACAAGAACTGCCATCCTCAGCAGTACCTTCTTCATCTAGGATCAAGAAAGAAACAAAAATGGGGTTATCAATTAGGATAGCACAAAAATTGACCCCTTCATCAAGAAAGCAATAAAAGAATATGAATGATGTGGTTAAGGAGCAGCTTGTTTACAGGTTGTATTACAATAAAACATATGAAACCATCCATAGCAGCCTGTTTGCAGTTTAAAACGAAAATAAATATTTAACAAGATTAAGTATATCCAAAATCTGAAATACTAGCTTGTTGATATTGGACTATGTAGTCGTCATTCAGTGCAAAATCCACCAAACAGGTTCAGAGACAAATAATAAGAGTATCCAAAGGTTCAGGGCCAATAGAAAATGTTCAGAATATATTATAATACAAACTAAACATTTAAGAAAGTAGATTTTCTTTGGAAAAAATCATAGAACTAGACTTTTGACTCCTCTTGGGGCATCAATGTCAAAGCATTTTAAGAACATTCCTTTCTGTAATCGTGCTTGATGGTGGAGAATGTTAGATTTGAGATAAATGTATTCTGCTTGTGTCTGATATGTTGGTAGATTTGTTTTTTATTAACATTATTTTCCATCCTCGCGCTTGAAATTTTAATACATTTTCTTGTTTCACATAAATAAATTATAAACTCAGCACTGTTATATCTAGAGCTAAAAAAGTATATGCTAAGATGTGTGAATACTAACACTGCAACCCAAATCCAAGTTTATATAAGCATGATAGTCTTCATTAATTTTCTCCATAGAGCAATATGGTTGCATAAAATGCAAGCATGCCACGAGAGACCAGAGGGATTAGAAGACCATATAATATTTTGAAGAAGTTCATCTATATGCATGGAAATACACATAACAGGAGAGAACAAGTTTCTATGCATGAAACCAATATTTTATTGAAAGAAGAAAAGGATAAATTCCTTACTGTTTAATACTTGGAGCATATAGTCCTCAAGCTTAGGTTTCAGGCTCTCATAAAGATCTTGCATTCCTAGTCCAGTTTCAGCTGATATGGCAATAGGGTCACCAAATCCTAACCTATAAGCTTCAGTAGCAGCCGTCATAAGAGAACCACTACCATCAAAAAGTGCTTCAGACTTATTCATGGCAACGACAAGATTGATTCCAGGTGCATTTTTGCGCAACCACCTTCCAACCTCCAGATCAAGGGGGTGCAGTCCAGCTCTAATCACAAGATATCACAAAGGACTTAATAAATTTGCATGTAAAAGGAAAAGAGGAAGTGGTGGCCAGGGTCGTAGTGTAAGGTGCTAGCACTCTAGGTGTTCTTTCAAATTATAACAGTGGAAAAGAAAACTACAAATTTCAAGAGAAAGGCCCTAAAATATAACTCCCTGGTCAACCAGATGTGGCTTATGTACTAGTACTAGATCATATAATATACAGTTTCTCATTCACAGTTAATAATCCCACATACACACGTATTTGGATGTATTTTTATGCATGCATAAGCGTGCATGTATACCCAGAATAGCCCAAAAACATACTCATCGTGTAACAAACCAAATTGAACCACATTAAGAACATTTTCTTTTTACATAAACAAAGATATGCCAGCCTCCATATAACTAACCTTACATCTAACAGGAAAACCGCAAACTGAGACCTTGCGAGAACACTTGCAGTCATTCCTGATGTTCTATCAAGAATAGAGCCTGAAGATGCAGCCGTTTCTAAACCAGCTGAGTCCAGTACTCTAAATCGTAGATCACCCAATTTGGCAATGCCTTCTCTTATATCACGAGTAACATGATCATCTGGTGTATTGTAGACAAGAGCCTCCCGCCTCCGGATTAAACTAAAAGAAACCCACAAAATAAAAAATTTAGAAGGCAAGGCCAAGAGCGCTGCAAGTTACAATATCTGCATTCGTTTTCTCTTTTTGACAAGTAAAATGAAAATTATGCCAAATACACATACATAGTAAACAAAGTTTAAGGGAAAAAAGGCAAATGAATTACTGACCGATTAAACAAAGCTGACTTGCCCACATTCGGGCGCCCAACAAGAACTACAGTAGGAAGCAGATTCTTGTTCACTTTGGTGAAATCCACTGGTTTTTTGTACAATCCCCTAGTTTTCTCGGCAGTAACTTTGCAATCAGAATCGACATGGGGTTCCTCTAAATGAACAGCTGTACCCTTGCAAGTATCAGAAGCCGGCAGTTGATAAGTGGGTAGCGTGCAAAGCTCCCCTGTGGCCTGAAGGATAAAAGGATGCAAGATTGATATTGACCTGCACTGAGCCCTAAACCTTAAAGTTGGATTTCCAAAGGGACTTAAAAAGGCCGCGGTGAATAATGATCCTGAAAGAAAACAATCATCAAGCACATATAGTTGCATCTAATCTTGGAAATTAAAAGATAGAAGTTGATAGCAGGAAAATCAAATTCTTACCAAAATTATTTGAGTGCTTTTGTCTCTCTATGTACAAGTTGGGGATTGTGTTGGTAGAACTCTGAAGCGGATTATGAAGGAGACCAAAACCAAACTTCTTCTTCAGCGCTGGAAGAGAACGAATGCACGAATGAGACATACCCAACAAACTTCCTCTTCCCCTTCCTTCTCAGAAGATGAAGATGTGAGAAGATTTTCCCAATTTCATTCTTCAGTCATAAAACAGAAAGGAGTTCAGCTTAACAATTCAAAATCAAAAGGGCTTAACAATTCAAAATCAAAAGGGACTGCTTCCATTGAAAATTCAACCCAAGAAACCCAAGAAGCTTGTGCTTTGGTAAGATTTTTTTAATAATATTGGCATGCAATCTATATATTATAAAATGTCGATAACAAAGATATACAGTGCTATGGGTGTGGCAGGGGTGGAGCAGAAGATGGAACGAGGGGCTGACAGAAAAGGGCTGCGGGAGGGACGGAAACAAGGAACGCAGGTGGGCTGAACTTGAAGCCATTCTTCCTCACAAAATTTCGGCGGAGTTTCCTTTGTTTATATGACATTTCGATATTATACAGAACCTGTTAAACACATTATTTCTACATTTCGACTGCATTCTCAAGCACAGTATAATTCTTTGATAAATGATTTACTCACACACGGCGGTTGAAAAGAAAACCGTGAGAGAATCCACGGTTCTTAAGCCTAATTACTCTGATCAGTTGGGATTGAGGTTTACCCTAGTACTAGTAGGATTGAATCCCTAAATCAATATTTTCCAAACTAAATTAAAAGGAAAATAAGGGTAGAAAAAACAGAAAAATAAAAGGAGGAAGAAGGAAGAAGAAGCCTGACCTGTAAATGGGGGAGATAATGGCCACCCAAAGTCTGAAAGTGGAGGAGGAGGAGGGGGAGGAGGAGAGTACTTTCACACCTGCCGCTGGCTGGGTAAATTATTATTTTTTTAATTATTATTTGGGAGGTCTTATTGGTATATGGCTGGGTTTTCTTATTCACATTATGCACAAATCCACTTATACGTCGAACAAATCCACTTATACGTCGAATAGAAGAAACTACAACTTGAGCGAGAAAATTTATATATTAAAGTAAATACTTAAATTTATAAAAAATAAAATAAACAAAAGCATTTTACTGTGTTTATGAAATATAAAAGCAATTTACTTTTTTTCTTACTATTATATATTATATCAAATTTTATTAAAAAAGTATATAAAATATTTGATTTGGGACAATGGTATTTTAGTAATCATATTGGTTTATATTCCGATTCTGCTGAATTAGTAAATAACTTTATGGAATTAACGTCATTTCTATTCCGATTCCAGAACATTTAAATAAACAACTTCAACATGAATCTGATTCTGACTTCTTCTCATTTCAACTCCTCGTGAATTCAATTCATCCTATTTTCATTTCAATTCATCCTATTTTCATTACTGTTACGTAAATGCGCAATAAGTGTTAAACCAGTTCATTGCTGTTTTATAAAATTTCACGGAAAAAAAAAAACTGTTCATATTAATTAAAAAAAAAAGAGTTTTATAAACTTTGCTTGAGCAAAAAAATCAATTAAAACAAAATTGTTAGCACATTTAGCCAAAAGCTCTAGTCTACACGAATGATACGACGAACGCATTTGAACCAATGTCTTTGATTTTGTTTGACGTTCTTGAGAGGATAGGCATGAGCTACTTAGAAACAACAATTACATATGAAAATCATTACTAATCTAAGAAGAATACAGATCTATACATTTTGTTAGAAATTGCCAATTTTTATACTAACAATACTCTTTCGAGCTTCATGCAGCTCACCATTATGTCATAAGCACATGATTTTCAGTGTGTTGCGCGTGAATTATCAATGATTCATATGCTAGACAAGTTATGGAACCGTATTTCCCAGCATAAAGAACTATTTACAGTATATTATTATGACTTACTCGGAAAGATATAGTCCTTAGAGAGCTATACATCGTCAATAAGATCGTCATTTCTAAACATCGTTTATGACATTTGTGGGATCATAAATTTTCATTAGTTGTAATAAGGCGATCAGAATATACACACACACACACACTTTCGTAGTCCAATCATAAATTTTAACTACAAAAATATTATTGTTTTCATCAACTACGCACACTATTTTCTTAACTATGCAAACTATTTTCTCACCAACTCCTTTAAGAATTTTTATTAAATCCGTCACTGAATACACAAGCATGTCGTTTCATCTTTGAAAACATGAAAGGAACAATCAAACATTCGAGATTGAGATTAGTCGAGGAAATCAAACATATTATCCACACACCTCTTTTTACTTCTCACACGTCCCTTGTTAATTTCTGTATGTTGATCTTCTTCAATTCATCCAATTCGACGGTCGAAAACCAAAAAGGTGTAAGATAAGTAAAAAGGGGTGTGTTGATATTACACCCCCTACTTTAAGAGATAACATGAACACAATATTGTAGGAAACCATACAAATGAAATGCACAGTAGCAGTCATCTTTCTAAAAAATTAGAAACATGGTTAGCCAGTAAAACCATACAAATGACTTTCTATGACCTCAATTAGCGCATTAAATTTATGACAACAAAATTTAAAAAAAAAGTTATGTTTATAAATGTGAATCAGTTTATAATTCGATGTACAGAAAGACCAATACGTGTTAGGCATAAAAGATTAAAGAAACTAACGAAAAGTCCAAAAAAACTTCATTTTTAATGAAAAGTCTTTATTAAAGATATAGTGAATATTACCAGGGAAATGTATAATTATGGTTTTTATTAAAAGTAAACAATACCGGGAGTGTTTTGTTAAAACTCCTTAAGAGCAAGTCCACCGTTGGACTTTGCTCGGGGAACAGGCGAGAGGAAAGGGCTCGAGGGCCGGTGGGTTCGGCTCCAGCGTTGGGCAGCCCGAGGGCCAGGCCCGTGAGGGATTGCCAGCCCTTCAGCCCGAGGGGTGTGACGTCAAGCTGACGCCATGTCTGGCATCAGTCCTTTTCTTTATTTTTTTTGTGTCAGGCGCGTGCCCCTCACGTGCGCATGGGGGTGCGTCAGCCAACACGTTTTTAGAGTGAATGACCCGTGTGCAGTGACCGTTGGGAAGCCACGTGGCTTCCCACGATCCGTTCGATCCCAACATCTCTTTAATACGGGCCGTCTGATTTCCAACGATAATAAAAAAAAGCTGATTTAATATAAAGCGTTCGATCTGAGATCAACAGTTTATATTAATCTGCATTATAAATTAAAAAAATATAGTTTTAAAATTAAGAAAAGTTACCGTTGTGACACGTGGCACAATCTAGAGTGTTAGAATTCAATTTTTTTAAATCCAAAGGCAGAGATTAATTATTTGAATAAAAAAAATTAAAAAATTGTAAAAAAATCTGAAAAAAAAATCTGAAATTTTAAAAAATCCGAAAAAAATATCCGAAACAAATATCTGAAAATATCTTATCGAAATCTATGACCAATAATAGTCGTTTTGGGTAAATGACACGTGACGCAACAAGAACGATTTAAAATATCATATCCGAAATTACAAATAAATTTATTTAGTATTATTTTATAAAAAAAATTAATAAGATTTTATTGCCTATTGCCAAGGCTATTCAAATGCAACGGTAGAGATGCAAAATACAATTACTATTTATTAAGGTAGTTACTCTTTATATAGTAGATTTAATAGTGGATTGTCTGAACGAGAGCTCCAATAGTGAAGTTGCTCTAGAAGATTTGGTCTTGAGAAAGAGATGTGGTACTAACCACCGTCAGGTGTCAATGGCTCTACAGCCACAAGACAGAAGCCGGCGGGCCCCACAAGTGCTGTGATATCTCCCAATTGTCTTGAATTTGAAACACAAAAGAAGATCCCAGATCCTTATCCCTGCCGCCAACACAATCACCACAAAAACCTCTCCAAATCTCACACCTTTCTCCAGAAATCTCCTCCGCCAATTACTTGACTTGCCTAACAAATCCTCTATCTTCTTACCAACAACACAATCCTCTCTCTCTCCTCTCTCCTCTCTCTCTCTCTCTCTTCAGGAGGATTTTCCATAGATAATCTGTTTGGACTTTCTGGGAAAGCTTTGATCTTTGGAATTTTGATCACACTCCCTTGAATTGTCTGGCAGTTTTACAACTTTCTCACTTGCTTCTGGGATTTTTTTTTTTTTTTCTGGAAACAGAGTTGTGGGTAGGTGGAAGAAATCTGATAAATCTACAGGATTGAATCGTTGAAGATGAAGATTCAGTGTGATGTGTGCGAGAAGGCGCCGGCGACGGTGATTTGTTGCGCCGACGAGGCGGCTCTGTGCGCCAAATGCGACGTTGAAGTACACGCAGCGAATAAGCTTGCAAGCAAACACCAGAGGCTGCTCCTTCAGAGCCTCTCCAACAAGCTTCCTAAATGCGACATTTGCCAAGTAATTATTTTCACTTCCCATTTTCTTTCTATGTGTTGATTAATTTCCCAATTTCCAATTTTTATGTTTTTGTTTGGGGTTTTAGTTCCTGATATTAGTTAATTATGTATTTAGATTTGATGAATGTAAAGGGTGAGCCGGATTGAGATAGGTCTAAGGGTGCTAAGAGTGTTGGAGTTGGAGCATCCAATTCTTAACTAAACCCGAAACCAAGTGACAATGGGTAGAGGTTTCCAATATCTAATAAGGAAAATTAACGAAAATGACTCAAAAACGTTAGTTTTAATGAAAAATGACAAATAAAAGGGTAAGTGAATAGTACCAAGAAAGGTAAAAATATGGGTTTTCGTTAAAAGTGAACAGTACAAGAGAGTTTTGTTAAAACTCCCAATAACTTAGTAGTATAATTTTCTTTCGAGTAAAATTATAAGTACGATATGATTGGCCCGGTTTGAAACTTTATGTTCTCAACATAGTCCGCTTAGGTGTGACCGGCTTTTGGGCTAAGCAGGTTGATTAGTTATATGGAGTGATGCGGACGCCATACAGATGAGCGCAACTCAACTGATGATTAATTTTTGTGCATATGAAAGTAGTCATTTCTAATTTGTGAAGTGTATGTTGCTAGTGAATGAAGTGTTTGTTCACTACTTGCAATGTAAGTCAGTGAATGGTTGAGTCATGGGGATTTTGAGAGTTTGTTCGCTACTTGCAATGCAAGTCAGCTAATGGCTGAGTAGATGTCCAGCCTTGTGGATTCTGAGAATGTCGATTCGTCAAATTTAATAATGATTGATCCATAATCAGGAATTTTTTTATTGAATTGGAAAGTAAAAGGTGCCTTTTAATTCTTAAGCACAAAGGGTACAATTTAGTCCTTGTTGTGGACCATGGTTTGAGTCATGGAGAAGATGAGAAAAAAATTCATTGATGCGTTGGAGAGTAGGGAAAGGTAAGGCAATTAGAGAAAGTGTTATTCTGAAATTACTCGAGTAGTCTTAGGTTTTGCTGTAATTCAGGAAGGATTTATAATTTATGGTACATCATTTATAACTATATTCCAGGGCGTTTTACTCTTTCTTCCGAGTTAAACATAGTGGGGGGTAGACAGAGATGTTTCGACAGCTCCGTAAGATGAGCAGAATCAGGGAATCAAAGGCTGACGGGTTCTTATAATTACTGTAGTAGCAGACTATGCAAGATGATCAGCTTGAATTTCTTAAGCCACATTTGAGCTTTCCTCTTGGTTTATTTCTGCTTTCTTGAAATCAACCGTCTTCATCTCAATTACTAATGAACAACAAGAAACTCACGTAAGAGTTCTTGAAAGATAAATAAGGTTTCGTTTTAAATCTGTCTTAGCATCACTGGATTCTGATGAGTTTGTTAAATTCTCTTGAAGTAATTGCTCAAATTTCAATCTCCCCCTCTCACACATATATTCTGATTTGCAGGATAAGATAGCTTTTATATTCTGCGTAGAAGACAGAGCCCTCTTTTGTCAGGATTGTGATGAACCAATTCATTCAGCCAATAGCCTCTCTGCAAACCACCAGAGGTTCCTTGCCACAGGAATCCGAGTGCCATTGGCCTCCAGTAGTACTAAGGAAGCTGAAACGAGTAGCTTGGAGCCATCCAATCAAGGTGCACAGAAGATTTCAACAAAAGTCTCAGCACCACAGGCTTCAGGCATCTCATCACCTTGGGGTGTTGATGACTTACTGCAATTATCAGATTTTGAATCTTCTGACAAGGTTAGAAAGATCCCTACACATTTGGATGTTATGCTTTACTCATAATGATTATAATTACACAATTGTCTTCTCACAGAATAGCATGGTTTCAATTGAACACGTAGAAACAGCATTGAAAGATGCACCAGAACTTACCCTTTTTCTGTTGAAAGACCAGAGAAATGGGCGTTATCATAATATCCGTGGAAGTCAGGGTTTGAAATTAATTATTTATCTACTGTATATAAACCAGGGAGAGTACAGAAACTTCATGAGTTTTTTGGACTTCCAAGATAGAAGTAGAGGATAATTTTAATTGAGTTCACTTTTCTTTTTCTCATCGCTATTTTAGTTTGATCATTCATAGAGCATATATGCACGATTATACGAGATTATATGACTTCAATAAGTTGATAGCTCTAAATAGGTCATTGCTTAGTTGGGATGGAGTTCAGGCAGTTGTTCGGGTGAAGTCAGTATAGAAAAAACATTTATATAAAATTGATGCCAACATTGTTGATAAGTTGTTTGCCTTTTCTTTCATCTATCCCTAACCTTGAGAAACTCTGGACTGTGCTTTCTTCAGAAGGATTCGCTTGAGTTTGGAGAGCTCGAATGGATAGCAGACATGGGTATTTTCGGTGATCAGTATCCTCAGGAGGCACCGGCAGCAGCTGAAGTTCCGCAGCTCCCAGCACCGGAGTCTAGCAATTTTACCTCCTACAGACCCCCTAAATCGAGCAGTCCGCAGAAGAAGCCTAGGATTGAAATCCCAGATGACGATGATGAGTATTTCACTGTTCCTGACCTCGGCAGATTTTAGACATGTATCAACTTGATGGATTAGTTGATAGGTTGAATTATATACGTTCATACTAAGTACACGCACGTACGTATTTATGTATTTATTATATATGTTCATACTAAGTGCATACCAGTACGTATTTAAGAATTTATAATGCATTTTGTGGGATTCCTGCCCCTTTTATTTGATCCGTCGATATGTAATTTTGCCTAGTCAGCAATATGATCATACGGCACAGATTATGTGCCTGCTGTTATAATACCAAGCGACAGTGGTAATTGGTGTTTATGAGAAAAAAGAGTGTCTTGAAGCATGTATTGTCAAGCGATTGCGCGTTAAAAAGAACCAAGCTCATCTCGTCAACGCTAGCACTTCTTAATAAATGATGCCATTCCCGCGAAGTGAAGTTCAATTTCTATTCGTTTGTTCAGTGCTAGGGTGTAGAACTGGATCTCATATGGGATCAAGAGATATTCAATTTGGAATTATCTTTTATATTTATTTATATATATATACACACACATACCAATAATTCCTACAAAGCATGGAATTATTCAATGAGCCAGCACGTTCCTGCCAATGATTCTGACAAAGTTTAGAGTCATTCAATCATCCATATTCTACAATGAAAGCATCAATTATTCCAACAAATTTCACTGTTCAGCAATAGTGAAAGCAAGTCATCATTCATCAATAGTAAAAGCAAATCACCCAAGATCTTTTTCCAATTCTATAAGAAGTGGACTCCGCAGGAGGAAGGTTTCAAGTTTGGAATTTCCATAATTTCCCAATAAAAACTTTCTTTGAGTTCACACGGTCGACTTTGGAGATTGGAATATCCCCAAGGTTTCTAGTAAAAACATTTACAAAAAGAAATGGTCAAAAGCCTCTTTTAGAAGTGAACATCACGTCAAAACAGTTGAAAAAGCTTATGCTCTTTGTAAAGAACATGAGACTTGTCAGTTATTCACACAAGAACAAATTAAAACTCATAGAAAAGATGGTTACAATTACATTCACATAGGTCTAGTCCAAATAGCAGTCAAGCCCTTAACAAGAAGAAGCCTCAATACCTCTATTTTGTTATGTCTCCGAGATGCAAGATTCATTGACTTCAATGATAGCATTCTTGGAATGATTGAGTCAAGCCTTTACAACGGACCAATTCATTTTGATTGTTTCTCAGATCTCACGATAAGTCTTTCAGATCCTCACATACTGAAAGCACTCACATTAAACATCAAAACCTCATTGTACCAAGTTCTTGAAAGAGTCCAACCTGTTTGGATTAAAACTTGATTTTTGGCCCAAGGATGGAGTAGGCCCAAAAGGAGGCCTGGAGGAATAGAAGATCAAAGCCCGGCCGAAACTTGGGAAAGCAGGAAAGGGCCCTTTCTGACTTGATACAATTCACAAAGGCCACTTGTCTACCTACCCAAGGACCAAGTGGTGTAGACTGATCAGACTGCACAGCCCATAAAGTACTTTATGGTGGCATTACATGTAATAAAGCTGATGAGTCATCACCCTCAGACCGCATTCGGACAAAGCTGTCGCTACAGGAGCCAAACCGAGTCGTCTATAAAAGGAGGAAGAGAAGACAGGAATAAAGACACTCAAACAAACAAACAAAAGCACAAACTCTGCTCAAAAAGCCAGATTTGCCTTTCAAAACGAAGCTGTAGTCAGCCCAAGCTTTCATCCCCCTCGGGATAATCTTTTCTCCTAAACTCTGTAATAGCTCTGCTACCTTGTTCAAACTTGTTGTAGTATCGATTCACCTTTTGTATTCTCCTTTCCCCTCTCCACCTCTAAGCTTTCAGACCTTTGACAGAACTACAAAGATAGGGACCTGCAAGACGATCAGCCTTAATTGATAAGGTTTAATCTTGCCCGACCTGCTTTGCTCTGTCTTTGTCTTCTCTTTCTTTAAAGTCTAGCAATATGTTGTATATTTTTAGTTATATGCAAGTTGTTTCTAGCAAAATCACGATGACAAAGCTTTCTCAATACTTGGATCCGATTTAAATATATCTTCAATGCTTAAATCAGATCCAAGTCCTAAGCCCGCAGGCATGTAAATCTGATTAGTTTAAAAGTCCTTGGCCTCAAGGCATAAAAAAGAACTTTATGTGGACTTAACCCATCCACGACAATCCTTGATAAACGAGAAGTCTGAAGTTACTTAGGGCGCAAGTAATCGACCTACCTTCTAGTTTCTATTATATCATGATTATTATAGAACGCTTAAGTATAGAATGGATTCTGATAGGAAGCCTCAAGGCCTACACCTAAGGCCCCACAAAGGCACTTATTTGGATTTATTCTATTCTGCGGTCTAGATGGTTTGAGTATAAGAACAGACTCTAATGGGAAGCCTCAAGGCCTACACCTAAGGCCTCACAAAGGCACCTATTTGGGTTCGCTCTACCTCTCAGACTCGGATAATCAGAAATATAATAGTGATAAGACCCCGACAACCATAAAGACCAGATATAATATGCTCAAGCACTGGTTTAGTTTGACAGGAAGCCTCAAGGCCTATACCTAAGGCCCCACAAAGGCACCTGTTATATCCAACACAGTTTCTCGGGCGTATGCATATTCACAACTAAAACTTGACATCTATTCGACATCTGCCATAATGAAGATGGCAGTGGCACGCCTGAGCACCAAAATGTTAACCTTGATTGAGAGCCTCAAGGCCTACACCTAAGGCCCCACAAAGGCACCTCTCAAAGTTAACGCTGTCCTTCTCTTTAAGCCTTGCCCGAAGAGTCTTGCCCGACGAGACTTGCCCGACAAAGCCCGACAGGAAAGCAGAAGCCCGACAGCAGCCCTCAACCGGCGCCAACCTCCAAGGGAGCTGTGTGCTCGCCGGCCAGGAAATATCCCCGACAGGAATTCCTGCCACGAACACAACCATTAGCCTTAATTTTTAAAGTTTATTACAAAGTCACAAGAATAAACATGAATTTCCAAGCCTTAGTTAAAAGTCCTCGAGACCACACACTCTTAATACAAACCAATCAAGAAAATGTCAACATTAAAATACCCAAAACTATCAAATGGTCAAATATCAGTCTACCTTCATATTGGTGCTTGATCAATGAAAGCAAACCAGTAAGCATACAAAATAGCTTAGTCAACCTAGACAACATAGAACAATATTTTGACAGAATAGTTAAAATCAATTTCAACCCTCCAGCTAGGAAATCTAGTGTTACACAAATCTTTAGAACCCACTAGGAATTCTTTTTCTAGATCCACATCAGCCGATATGGTGGGTCGGGATCAAGATTTAATTAATTCTTTAGTCAATAGAAAATTAAAATCAATAGATAATAGCTTAGTATTTACCCAACAATAATTAATTAATGATTTGATCAATATGAAGTTAAAATCAGTATAAACAACCTCTCAGGTTACTCATCCAGGATACCAACCTAACACCCAAAATCAAGGAGAACAAACCTCTCAAACAGAATATGATTTCGAAGCAAATCAAGTCAACCACCAACTACTAGTCCTAAACAAACCATTCAAAATTCAATGGAAGAAACTCAATGCTGACATCGAAGCAATAGAAAACATTCCTAGAAGAAACATCTTTAGGGAAAATAGAAAAGAACAAAAATTGGACATTTACAATAAATGGACCAATTTCATGAAAAAAACACAGATTTGAAGTATTTTTCTTCGATTTCGTTGAAAAATATTACGAGTTTGAAAAGAAGTTAGAAGTCATCACCAAAGAAAATTGGGTCAAAGAAGACAAAATCATAGTCTCCTCTAGTCACCCTCCACAATAAACAATTTTAATCACAACCGCAAACACACATGTACCAGCCACTCCTTTCAAACTTCCCAAAAAAGATGTAGGAGTCAGGCCAGTCATTGAACAAAACAATTTCACAAACTAGAGTCTACACACCATAGGAAAACAACTAGATAAAATAGAAAGCAAAATAGATAGACTTTCACATTCCAAACCAACAATTAAGGAAAAATCCTTAGTCAACTTCCTAGAAGCCTCATCTAGCACAACAGCTTTGAAAACAATCTCCACAAGTCAAAAAATAGATTAAATGTTACAAGAGTTAAAACAAGAAAAACAATCAATGTTTTACAATACCCAAATGAATCTCAACCAGAAACAACTTCTGCAATATGAGATTCAGAAGGCGAGAGTGAAACAAATTCCATCAGAAAAGTAGAAGAAGCTTTTCAAAATTTTGAACTAAAACGAATCACAAACAAAAGAGTCAACCCGACAACTTTTACCAAAAATTGGTATCCAAGGCCAACACCTCTGGATATTCAATTTAAAGAAAGAAACATTCAAAACCAATTCTCAATCTCGGCTGATAAACTCTATGAATGAAATATAGATGGATTATCAGAACAAGAACTTTTGAACAAATTACAACACATCTCCATGGTTGCTAATAGTTATATTACCAATCATAACTTAGTCAAACCCAAGTTGTGGACCTTTTGGTCACTAGATTTACATGAATACTCCATTCCTGGTGGGAAAAACATCTTATTGAACAATCCATAAATGAAATAAAAAAATGCAGTAAAAAGAAATGAAGAAGGAACACATGTTTTCGATGAACATATTAGAAGAGGGGTCCCGGATTCAGTCAACACATTACTTTTCACTATCATGGAACATTTCATAGGGACACCTAGTAATGTCACATTCAGGATTCATGACCAACTCAGTAACTTAAGATGTCCAACCTTAAGTGATTTTAGCTGGTACAAAGATGTTTTCATGTCCAGAGTCATGCTTAGAGAAAATAGTAATCAACTATTTTGGAAAGAAAAATTCATTAATGGATTACCAAATCTATTTGCCCATAAAATCAGAAACGTTTTAGTTAATGAAGAAGGTATCATACTATATCATACCCTTACTTATGGAAATATTATTAATATTATCCAGAAAGAATGATTGAAAATGTGAATTGATATGAAAATTACAAAACAAGTCAACAAAGACAAGTCAATAGCCAAATACGAATTAGGAACATTTCGTGAACAATATGAATTACCTCCTATTGCACCATCTAACAAAAAGAAAAGATCAAAAGCCTACAATAGGTACCCAAATAGATACTCCAGTAGGAGACACCCTAAATATAACAAATTCAAAAATAAGGGTTTTGAAACAAATAAATTTTACGAGAAACCCAAGTCTAGCAAGTGGAAGAGGAAACCCTCAAGAAAATTCCACTCACAAAAACCAAGAA